AGCTAGCGCAGAGGAGATGTCTAAAAAACTACTAGCGGGACTCATGCACTGATGCAAAATATGTAAGCTTACACTCTTATAATTTGGGTTGTTTAGTGAAAAAAAATATTATAACCGGATTTATAATTTGCACAACCACATTTAATAATATAATTATCATGTTTAATAATATAAATTATTATTATTATTATTATTATTATATTAAAATGATTGTGATGTATGTTATAAATCCAAATATAAATATAAAAACAGGTTATTGAGATAATCACCGCATAAAAATTGAAATAAACTAAATGTGTAATTGTAAACTTTCAATAGTATATTCCTATTCATAAATTTATAATAATAATAATTTCATAAAATATTATTATTATAATTATTATAACGAATTCTCTTTTTTTTTCTTTTCTTCATTTAAACATATTTAAATTTTTCATCTTTTTAAACTTTATTTCACTTCAAATAAACAAATTCACATTCTATATATTCATTTTTCAAAAAAATTCTGTCAATTTCTTTCACATAATTTAGTTAACTAGGCTAAATCTAAGGGAAATGCATAAAAGAGGGAAGGGTCTCTTTAATTTTTCTCTTACAAGGTTGCAGCTTTTATAAATAATAAAAAATAATTTAATAATAAAAATAAAAATAATAATAAATAAAATTATTATTAATAATAATCAATAAAATTAGTTATAAAAATAATAATTAATAATATTAATTATTTTATTTTATTTCTTTTATCTTTCATTTTATTTCTTTTTAACTCGTAGATCAATGGAGTTTGAACAATATTGATAACGGGTTAATCTAATTTTTTTATTTAATTTAATTTTTTCTATTTATGCATAAGTATAATTCATAACGATTTTTTTTTACATAATGCAATGACATTGATATATACTGAGGTGTCAACATATTTGACACGTTGATGCATATTATATATTAATTTATAAAAAGGAAATTATAGAATTGTATTTTTAGTATCTAAAAATTGAGATGATTTTTTTTATCTTCCAAGTTTTTTTTTAAATATTAATATATATCAGAATTAAAATATGCTATTTAGATATTAAATTTGAGAGACTGAAATATATATATTTCTTCATTTAAATTTTAAGATTCAGGTTTAAATTTTATGGTTTAAGATTTTGAGGTTAACAATTTTTAATCTCTCAAAAAATTACTGTTTGGAGAATTAAATTATGTTTTTAATTAAAATAACTTTTTAAAATTGAGGAAATAAAATCAAAATTACCTTAAATTTGACAATCGAATTGTTATGTTAGGTGTACTGCATTCTAATTGTAATAACTCAATCAGGTTAACCCAATTGTTAATATATTTCTTCTGGTTTTCATATTTTAAAATCACCTGAAATCATGATGTAGATATTTCTAACCCTCTTGAAGTATCTATGAATTTCATATGATCTTGAAGGATTCTTCAACTGCACATTTTTATTGATTTTCAACTAGCAGGTATTCAATTATAGCTTAAAATTTTCTATTAATTTTCAACCTAGTCTTAGTTGCGTTGGTTGGTTCATTTCTTTTTATCTTCAGGTATTATCTAACTAAAACAGGATCTGATGAAAGATTTGTAGTTAAGTACAGACAAAAGAATGCTAAATATGAAGTTTTCATTGCACGATTGAAAACTATATATTATCAGTTTAACAAATAGAAAAAGGATAGGTATAAACATTAAGATTCCTTCAGATTTAAGAGAAAAGCTTAATAGATATATAATATCCGATATCTAATTTTGCCAGTCTGTGAAAACAGTAGGGTTGAAGCAATTCATACATAGAAGAAGTGTTCTTTGTAATCTTTTATAGATATGGATTGGAAAATAAAATATAACTTTTTTATGCAAGTTTCATTATAAAATGAATACTGTGGTAGCAAGTGTCATAAAAATATTGGTTAAAATTTGGATAAATAATTTGTAATTAGAATTAGGTTAAAATGTTTTGAAAAAGTTAAATATGTTTTTTAATAAAAATACAATTTTTTCTTTGGTTTTTGATACTGATTATAACCTTGCTCCTAATAAATTAATTTACTCTTAATAATCATTTCTCCGAAATTTAGCTCTAGAAAAAAATATGCAAATTATGTTTTGCAAAAACATCAATAATGATGGAGTATATAATATGTGCATTTATCCACACACAAAATGAAAATAATAAATGAATTTTCTATAGCTATATAAGAATTTAGCTAATGATTTTATAATAATTATCTTAAATATATATATATATATATATATATATATATATATATATATATTAACAAAAATGTATTAGTATTGGACCATGTAACATTTTTGTATATTAAAATTGAATTGCAATTAGTAGAGGAGGCCAAAGAAAATGGAGATAAGATATTGATGATGTTGCTTAATTTAATTGGTATACTATGGATTTGGACATAAATATGAAATAATTAAGGGATACACCATTCAAGTGCTCTGAGTGATGTACATGTTTGTGTTACTACTGGAACCTTTTAATGAAATCATTTTTTTATGTATAAAATAAAAAATATTGTGTAATAAGATGATGAGGGCGCCAATGAATCTTTGAAGGAGATTATTTCAGTCAAAGTTCTAGGTAAGAAAGTTGGTGTTAAATTTATGCTTCAATCTTGGTGCCATCTTCTATCTTGAGTATTTGTCGTGAGTATTATCTTTATTAATTTATATGGTGATTATTTATGCCATAAAAAATTATGGTTGATGTTTTGAGTATAATGCAATTTGACTATTCAAAAAGACCAAAAGCAATTAATTAAAAAAAAAAGTAGCATGTGCTTTTTAGAAAAGTTAAACTAGTTAATAAAAACTGTAATATTTGGAGTTTTATTCTTTTATAATTTTAAAAAATTATATAATTATTGTTGATATATTTATATACACATATCATCAAATGCCGTAAATGACTTGAGAAATTGATGTTATAATCAAAGAGAAAATATTATAATAATAGAAATGAGAATAAAAAGTAAAAGCAAGACGCTATATAAGACTTTGCTCTAATGCATAATCATTTTGATGGTTAATAATTGTAAACACGGATTCTCCTTAATAAGTGAGTAGCCAAAACTTGAAAAAATGCAACGGCAAAGCTATTAGGGACCTCCTCGCTTATCACGTGAAATTAATCATTGAATTTCTGTTTGTCGTAAATTATAACAAAGGGAACATGTTCATAGTGATAATCAATCATCCAACAGGATACTAAACACGTGCAGTGTGTCGGTTTGTAAGCTGGTAGTACCTTGCACATTTCATGATTTTAATTATATGTAATAAGACGATTAACATAATCATTTTTCATAATTTTAATTCCCATTTTTTGACAATTATTTAAAAAATTCTGCCCTGCCAACTTTTTTGCCACTTCTTCGATATTGTTGAGTATATATTTTCTTAGTAGTTGGTGATCTAATAAAATGTCACAGTGTCGTCACTCATCCTTACACAACATGGAGATTTTATAGATTTTCATCGAAACGAAGCGAAGGATGTTTTTTTTTTTTTTACAGTAAAGGAACGAAGAAAAACGCAGTTGAGATTCTGGAATTGTTTTTTGAAAGTAATATACACTAAAGAACAACGTGTAAGCGTCGAATAGAAAGTTCTGAAAGGCTTGAAGAAAGGGATGTTAATATTATATAAATATATTTAATTGGAGAGGGAGGGTATCTGCATTTTCCTTCCAGTTTGATGGGAGTGGGAGTGGGAATGAGGAAAGGGTTAAACGCAGCCACTGTCAGCGTCACCCTACACTTGTTTTATGTTGTTAATTAAAGTTTATTTTTTATGTCAATTATATCGTAGTCTTAGAACGAAACAAAAGTTCATCTTCATATCTAGTTTTCATTCAACTTTTAGAATTTTTAGTATTAAATGAAATCATGGGAGTGTTTAAAAATAAGTACTTAAAGAAAAAATTTGATAATATTTGCAAAAGCTATCTCTAAGTAAATTTGTATAAATTGTCAAGTGGCAAGACTAATGCATTCTCTTTTCTATCAATAAGATATGTCAAAAAAAAAAAATCATTATTGAACAATTTTCTAAAGCTTAAGTTTCATTTTTTTTTTGTTTGGCAAGTTTTCGTATTTTACTCTTAATTTTTATATTTTAGTTTTATATTGTGAGTTGATTTCTTTATGAACAGGCTTAGTTTTTAAATTAATACTTAATTTTAAACAACAGTTGAGTTTAATAATTTTTTGAAATAGCCTTTTAAAACCCGAAAAGACTAAATAAAATACTTATTAACCAAACCATTTTATTTATTACATTAAACCTATTGACTGAGTGTGATTTAAAAAATATATATAGATAAACACTATAAAGTTGTGTTTGCAACAAAAACTTGTTTATTTTTTAATTTCTTTAACAAAATTCGTATATTTACATACAATTTTTATTTTGAAAATTTTAATTTTATATTTAAATAAACAAGTTATTTTAAAAATATTTCAATTTTAAAAGATCAAGTCATTTTTTAATATATAAATTTATTTAAAGTTATAATAAAACAAAACTTTAGTATAATTAAATGAAAAAAATATAACTTTTCAGAATCAAACACCACTTACCTATTTTTGTAATTAAAAAAAAAATCATTTAACTGTTTTTAAAACTACCCCTAATATCTAAAAAAACATGTCTAGATACATTTACAAACTAACTCACAGATTCTTCCATTTGTATATTTGTTTAAACTTTTGGACTAATTATGAGTTTGTATGGTCTTATTATTGACGTGACAGACATAACAATATGACAACTTGATATGTTATCACAGATCTCAACTCACTGATCCAACACATTCTAAGCCTTGATGAGCAGAAAAAGAAAAATAAACCTTAAATTCTGCGAATGATGGACGTGCCTAAAGGTTCGCAAAGAGAGGAAGGTGAAGAAAAGACACATCTGATCTAAACCCTAAACCAAAGAACCCAAAGTTTGACCAAACGTAAATGCGAGTGAAGACAGGGATCAGCCGCATTCAAAAGTCACCAACTGACTCGGAAAGAAAATGGGATACAATTTCACACGTGCTCCAATTGACCCGGGTATGAAGCGTGTACGGTGCCCCTATATTAAACCTTCCCAACAACATGGTTTCTCTCATCTCCCAAGTTTACAACATTAATCTCTTCTCTTCAATCTTCATCCTCTCCACTGATCTCTAGTTTTCCAGTCAAGGTACCATATTTTCTCAATCTTCTTTCCTTTCCAGTCTCCTCATTATTTTGTTCTCATTAACTATGGTCTCCCCAACCCAAACTCACAAAAACAGGCTTCCAATAAGCAATAGATTTTTTTTTCATGTTCTTTGGCATTTTATTGGTTAATGTTTAATCTATTACTTCTCCCCATGCATATGCACATCATTTTCATCTCACTATTGGGAAATCTTATTGCTTGATCCTTCAATTATCATCTGAATTAATTAATTGATGTCCTGGTTGACCCTCTTTCAGGCCTCTATAAACCAAGGAAACTGAAGATGATGGAGATTGCGTCCACCAACTACTTGCCTGAACTTGTAAGCATAATTGACAGGCTTTTTAGCACACTAATTAGGAAACATATATGTAGAGAAAATAATCTTTGACTTTTAACAGGAAATGGAGTACCCAACCTTTCTTGATCAATACCAGATGGATTTTTTTGCTTGCCCCATGAATGAAATTGGCTTCGAGTCTTTCTCCGGATCCCCAGAGAGCAATTCATCTTATCAGTTCAACTCAGAAAGCACACCAAATTGTTTTCCAGATGAAAGTCCTGATCAGTCTTTTACCCTGGCAAGGACAACCAAGAGGCTTAAGACATTCAATACCTTCAACACTTGTGCCAGTGACTTAATTTCCCATAAGATTTCCGGTTCTCCACCCTCCCAACTTATTTCTTTTGGCCACTGTAATGCTTCACCACGTGTTTCCCAGCAATTTCACAACCTCCATATGAAGCCTAAAATCGAGAGCCCGTCTAGTGAGAACAAGGACTTTACTGCCTTCGTTTCTCAAAGATCATATGAGGACATAAATTTCCTGAGTTCTGAAAATAGAACGAACCAGGTTGGCATAACCACTAGGAATTCAATCCAAGCCCAAGAGCACGTAATAGCTGAAAGAAAACGTAGGGAAAAGCTCAGCCAGAGGTTCATTGCTCTTTCTGCCGTTCTCCCTGGCCTCAAGAAGGTACTCTTTTTCTTTTTCCTATCTAGCAAAAGTTTGGGTGAGTTAGGTTACAGAGTCATGACAAACCTGTAAGTTCCATGAACACTATAAACCACTTACATGGTATCTATTGACAGACTCAAATTCGTGTCTTTTTAGAATATGCACAAACTTTATTAGACCAACCTGGCACAACAATTGTTATATTATCTTCACTCTCATAAAAGATCCACCTCCAATCAAATCACAGTTACAATTTATATATATGAACAACACACACGCTTGAAGACATAACCTAAGTTCAACCAACTATAAATAAATGCGGAACTAAGTTATGTGGGTGGTTGCATGCACAGATGGACAAGGCTTCTGTGTTGGGAGATGCTATCAAGTATGTGAAACAACTGCAAGAGCGCGTGCAAACTCTGGAGGAGCAAACAGCGAAGAACACAACTGGTTCTTCAGTCCTGGTGAAAAGATCTATTCTCTTTGCTGACGACGAAAATTCTGACAGCCACTGCGACCATTCATTCCCTGAAATCGAAGTCAGAGTTTCTGGGAAAGACGTACTCATCAGAACTCAAAGCGACAAACACAGCGGGCGTGCAGCAGTGATACTCAGCGAATTAGAAAAGCTTCATTTCATTGTCCACAGTAGCAGCCTTTTGCCCTTCGGCAATAACAATGTTGATGTAACTATTATTGCTCAGGTAAAAATTTGAAGTTTTGAATGAGTAGTACTCACGAATAGTAATCATGCAATGCAAGTATATGCTGTTATTAGTTAAACACCATTTCAGATTAAATTTAATTTGAATGCTAAATTTCTTTTGTATAATAGTCTCTCACAGCTAGACCAGACCAACATAGTATTTTTGTTTTCCCGTAGATGAAGGAGAAGTACATGGCTGCAAAGGATCTCCTAGGAAGGTTACGACAGGCTTTGAAGCAAGTTGATGGGCCTAACTAATTCAAAGAATTTATGTTTATGATGTGCATGATACAAGAATAAGTTTAGTGAATATTGATTTAATCGCAGTGCTTTCTTTTTCCTTTTTCGTCCATGATGTGGACTCTGGAGTTATATATGAAGCGCCTGCGAGTAGTTTGCAGAGAGTATATACATGGGTTTGTTCTGCTGTGAGGTGTGGGGAGCTTGAACAGAAGCACATAATGCCAAGGTTTTTTCTTCTGTTGTTTTTTGCGTAGTTGATCGGTCGGCTATGTTACCCCTCACCAGAATAGCATTTCAAATCTTTTATAGTTTTTTCCCCTCATCAAGAAGGGTTTTTGAGAGGCTTTGACTTATCATATAGACCTCTTTCTTGTCTGTTCTCCGCTTGTGAAAAAGGTTCCGGTTTGAAAGATACCGTATAGCAGCCACATATTTTAAACTGTTCCTTTGTCGTTTTGTGTTTTGTCAGTTCTGTATAAAATTCTTCTGATTGTAACAGCGACAAGTTGGTTCTCTTTTTTTTTTTCTTAAACATATTTTATACCGTTTGTTTGGTGCATATGTATCTTTTGTTGGTCAAGTTATATTTCTTGCTTCGAAGATTCATCATATTTATACATTGTTTTGAAAATGATGGATCTACATTTAAATTCTTATTTAGGAAGATAAAAAGGAAATTTGGTTTTAATTTTGTTGTTAATTGTGCTTTTCACTTTTCTTTGTCGCGAATAGAAAGTATAAAATGTAATGAAAGGGAGGTCGATGGGAGCATGTGAGACAAATTTGACAATTGGAAATTAATGGAGAAAACCAATTGGTCCCACCACAGATTATGCTATCGCCTTACTAATCTGGCAATCATTTGAATATACGCGTACCTTTCTTCCATCTACAGCGATGTTTAATTATTTTATATTATGATTAGTTCCATCATAACACTTCATATTATTATTATTATATTATTAATTAATTCATAAATCAATTTAAAAATAGCACGAGAATGCTAATTTTATATTACCCGATTAGAGTGATTCTTAACAATTACACGATGTTGATTTTACCTAATTTAAAAATACCAATTTACGAAACAGTAAACTCGAGTATATGGGCTGGGTCTCATTTAGTCTGACGTGGGCCTTGAAGTCCAAGTGAAGCCCAACTTTTTGGCACAGTGGAAAAAGTTATTGAGATGGGCTTGGTTTTATTTTAAGCACACGCACTCATTATCTGGGGGAGAAATTGAGCAGAGACTCTTATTGGTTCTATATTTGAATTACGAGGAAACGAGAAATTGTTGTCTGAATTTAATGCCAAGATACACGTCCAAACCTAATTGATAATTTACACAAAACTTGTGGACAATTCGCCAACAAAAACCTCTCAATTCAAATTTAAAATCGTGTAAATGTGACAACAAAAACGACTGAATGACCCGTCCCTTACCACTGCAAAATTGAAATGGACTTGTTTGTTTCTGTGCTGAAACTGGAAAGGGTGACAAGAAGGGGTACAAATTGTGTTGGCTGAGGGGTAGGCTAAAATGTCAACCCTGTCTTTGGTCCCCTTCAATGTGCTTTGGAATGAGAAGAGATAACTTCCATTGTGTGATTGTCGTTATGCTCTCTGTGTGGGAACAACTGGTAATATGCTGCTGTCTAAGCAAATGTGCCTAACCAAACAAAAGTTCTCACGGAGACAAATAAATGTAACAGGCAAGACAAAATTGAAAAGGACTTGAGCTTATACATTTTGAAAAAACAACTCACCAGTCCTTGAATCACCTCCATCATGATCATGCACACTACTCTGCACATAGAGTTGGCAGAAGGAATCCCAAGAGGGTTTTTAATCCCACAGATTCAGACACACATGCAGACAACCCCCTCCATAAGCCTCTTGTTTTTCACTGCCATAGCAGAACAGCAGAATGAGATAGCTCCAAACTGCAAAACCATTAACCTTAATTCACAAATATATTAGGTGGTTACATCACAATAATACATTTAAGTGGATTTGCCTAATGCAAACACATAACCATATCATAAGGATGCCTCTTCCAACAAAATGAGGCCTTTGCCATTATCCCATTCCACTGTGATTCTCATTGCTGTATGTCAGATAAGGCTAGGACTCTTTAATGACACAATCATTTGCAAGGGTTTGCATTAGGCAAAATGGTATATACTTCGCTTGCCACAAGAAAATTAAGACAAAATTCATCGGTCAGGTTCCATCGCGTGAATCAATCTCAATTTCCTAGGATGTGGCAGAGTAAACTTTTAGCGTAGACATCTTCTTGTATGTCACTCACAAAAATAAAAATTCTAGCGAAAGTTAAAAATTGTTTTTTTTTTCAATTAACTGTATTAGAGAACAAAAATAGATTTTCTTTTTATGGTATTACTGAACAGTTTAATTGATATTTTCTTATATGATTCATACTTCGAATTGCGCTCATATATGTAATAATCTTATTCTACTTGGATTTTTTAAATGAAAACTTAAGAATTCAACATGATTCTTTGACGAAGTTAAGTGAAATTTTCTAATTAGATGCATATTTATATAATTATTAGTTTAATAAATTATTTTAAATTTAAATATATATTTTAAAAACAATTTTCAGATGAGCTAGTAATAATAACGTAGTAAATTAAAAAAAAATGTATGTTTTATTTTTATCTTTTTCAGATTTTATTAATTATTATTTTGCCTTAAGATTAAATTATTTATTACATTATTTTTTTATTATAAAAATAAAAGCCAAAGAAATGAGAAAAAAAAAAACATTTCCCTTCCAATGCATTCTAATTGAGAAGACAAATATTTTTTTTAATTTCTCTCCCATCTATTTATTTCTGAAATACACAATAAAAAGATAATATTTATATTATCAAAAGAAACAAGGCATAAATTGAATACTGATTGTTGTAGTTTAAAATTTGTGAACAAAAAGCAAGTGGATTCTGTTGGGTGATAGGAATTGTTCAACCATGACATGGGAAAACGGATAAGCAGAAATTGTGTGGTTTAAAACGACAAAACCACGCATTTATAAGCTTCACTATTCTCTTCCTTGTCAACCAACATTATTATTTCTCAACCATAGTTCCTACTTACTTCATTAATAATATCTTATACCAATCAAATTGTTGTACAAATATATCGTTAGCTGTTATTAATTTATTTTTTTTGTAATTCTATACAAACTATTTTTAAGATTAAAATTAAGAAAACTTCATTTGCTTTTAAATATATCAAGAACATTTTAATAATTACTTCTTTTATCAATTTTACTGATTTTTTTTCTAAACTTAATTATATATAGGCTTAAAATCATCTTTGCATCACACACAAACACAAGATTTTTGAAAATACTTTTTAGCCTTAGGCATGTGCAAAACTGTATCTAACGAATTATCTCAAAAATTCATTTCATTAATAAACTTATCAGAAATTAACTTGTAAAGAATATTTGGATTTCTTTTATATATTCTTATGCTAAACTAAATATGTATAGAAACTAATTAAATTATGATACAATGGAAATAAGTGAACTTAAAGATAATTGAGACCTTTAGAAATCTTAAGACTTATGGAGAAGTCATAAGTTTTGTAATATATGGTCTTTGATAGTGTAATATAGTGTAGCACATATACTCTCAAGTATTCATGTTTTAATTCATGATGATTTTTACTTGACATGCATTTTACAAGGAAACCATTCAAAATATTGGCATAGTATTACATTTGTTATTTATTTATTAAAAAATTACATCTTGTTTCTGGTGGAATTTCGATCGATTTCGATTCTAAGGGTGTTTTGATCCTAATCAAAATTCTACCACGTAAGTTCTTTTTACTTAGGCTAACAATTTGATTTTCAATCGAAAACATGTATGAGAATCGAAAACTACAGGATATCGAAAAGGCTGTTTTTGGTGTTTTGTATTTAAAGTATCGAAAGCATTAAGACTATCGAATCGAAAAGCAGAATGTTAAATTGCGAGGAAATGTAAAATGCGAAAACCCCAAACTTGCATTAATTGTAAATAGCGAGAAATCGAAAACAACGCAAATATAAATGACAAGGAATCGAGATTGCAAGAAAAGTAAATGACAGGAAATTGAGATTTACAGAATGTTAAATAACAGGAAATCTAAATGCAGAAACTCAAATTTTCATTGAATTGAAATGGACAAGGAATAGAAAATACAGAAACATAAAACTGCTGAATTTAAGTTGCATCAAAATAAATTACCAAGGAAAATACAGAAAGCGGTAAATGTACTCAGTGAGCAAGGAAATCCAGATTGCCAGAAACTTCATGGTGTTCGTCGTTTCTCCGGTAGACTTTTCACTACTAATCCTGTTCTCTGCCAATTTCTGCTCCTTCGTTTCTCCTTTCTTTGTTCTATTTATAGGGCGTTGTTCAAGCCTCCTAAGAGCAGTTAACGAGACTGTCACCACGTTCTTCGTGCGTATGACAGTTTCTTTTTACAGTTTTCTCATGTTCTCACGATCCTTGATTCTTCCGTGATTGAGAAGTTATTTCCCCTACGTGCGTTTGACTAATTCTCTTCAAGGTTTAGGAAGGGTTTCGATATTCATGTAAAAAGAACCTTCCCTCGATTTCGATTTTGTCGAGAACTTTGCATACCCGACATCGATTTATTTTAACCTTAACTTCACATATTTCAATTTTCTTGGTTTGTTCCATGTTAACCTTTCGACTATTACTCCGACTCTTTCGACCTTTCGATTTTATGTGTCACGCCTTTTATATTCGGACATCGAAAAATTCCCTTTCAACTTGTTTCTCGATCATACTTCTCGATTCCATATTAACAAATGCCCCCTTGGAAGAATATAAACGATTTATTTGTATTCTTTCAACGTTTCCCGCCTAAGTGTTCGGAGGCCCGTAAAGTTTAGGGTTTAGGGTTTCTGGGGTTCTAGGTTAAGAGGGGTTTTAGGTTTCTTTTCCTCTTTACGTCGCTATCATATCAGTCTG